AAATATTTTTATTATTGTATTCTAATTGAGATGTAATATAATCTAAATTTTTTCTAATTGTTTTTATGGAATTTTTCTGAAAATGTTCTAACAACTGGTTTAACAAATGATTATGCTTATTATTTTCTAAGTTTATATTTTCTGCTTGACTAAGAATAAGATTTACTGACACACCCCGACCCAGAATGTCCACTAGGACTCCGAATCGAGCTGTGATGGCCAACACCTAGAAGGTGACAAAGTCATAAAGTATAGTGATGTGGAAAATGTGAATAAATTTAAACCTAAAAGTACCTAAAGACAAGAGTGCATTGTGAGCAGGAATGAACCCATTTCACACATGACGTTAGAGCATAAGTAAAGTACAGTAGTTTGCGTAAGGATCATACCCTTAGAGGTAGCCACATATACTGAGATTTGCCAAGAATCCTCGTCAATACGAAGTTTCAGCAGCTAAAACATGGAGGGGCGAAAAACAAGGGTGAGTGGGCCTAAAAATAAAGTTTTAATAAAAACCTTTTGAAAATGTTATAACCCCTCGCTGTAAAACCCGTATAATTTCCCAGAAAATAATAATATATACATAATAGAAATCAGGCTTGACAGCAATGAAAACCAAAGTATGTGCCATGTCAAGTATCTCAATAATAAATATGTAAGCCAAGTGTTGTGAATCAATATAAAATGATATGCCAGTAGGAGTCACCTAACGTGACCCGTACGGCTGAACCTATAGTTCATTAACCAATTCTTGCACACGAGTCGGAACCATTTAATGTGATATATATGACAAGCTAGGTGTAAATACATACGCTCAAGTGCTATGATCACGTGAAGGCTATGCGAAGTATCGCAAGTCACCTATGAGTCGAAACCACCTAATGTGGTTTGTACGACAGGTTGGCACCTGCCTTGGATCCAAGGTGAGCATATGGTGCGAGAGGTGAATGATCACGTGAAGTCTAGGCCCTAGCCTTAGGCGGAGCACTAACACCGGGGTGCAGGATAACGAGCATTAAATGCATCTAAACATAACCATACACACTGCATTCACTATCATCAATATGCACTTACCTGAAGCTTACTTGGGCATCCGCAGCGTCATGCAATAATATGCATATCTATACTAATGCATATACTAAAATGTAATGCAATTGACATGGCCTTTAAAAGCGTAAATCCATTTAAACCATTTTTGGGAAAATGGAAAACACATATATATACGTATATATAGAAGACCAAAAGCCCACTCACCTGAAGTCCACGCTAGAACTCCCTAGCACAAACATCAAGGCGTCATGAACGATCAGCACCTAGAACAATTATCAAATCATGTCTTAGAATTCTTATCAATAAAACATGTAACTTACATATCCTACTCGGGAAGATCCATAAGTCGGGAAGATCCATAAGTCGGATTCCCGATCTGTAAGTTTCTAATATCCTCAAATATTATGTACTATAATTTATCAAAATTTAGTGATGATCCAACGGTCGGATCGTCGATTGCTACAATAATCATCCAACGGTTGGATCGTTGATTGCTATAATAATTGAGTGGCGGACCTTAACGGAACTAGGTTCAAATGATGGAAATTCGTCAATCGGACTTTACATACAAAATTGGAGAATCAAATTTAGCCTAGGAAGGTCAAGGGATGCCTCGGCCCACGCGTCGTCGCAGGTGGTGGTCGGCCGTCCCGACTCGCCTGAAAATTCAACTATTTCTAAAAATTCTCAAACTTCACAGAATTGAAGATCTCAATTAGTAGAGCAACTTTCATACCTGCAACCAAGGCCAATTTGGCAGGGAAAAGCCCCAATTTCACGAAAACCCGTCGGCACCCTATAAATGAGTGGTTCTTGATTCAACTCCAAACAAACTCCGACAGCTCAACCAACGTATGAGCTTTGTTTCAGACCTCAGGGAGAGTCTAATGATGGTAATAATTGGAAGAACACGTTTCAGATTTGGTGGATCTTGGCCATGGGTCTCACGGCACCCACGAGCTTATTTCTTCCCAATTCCGAACTTAATCTCCTCAAATTTGATATAGAAATGGTAGAAGAAATGTCTATATGATGATTGGGAGTGGTAAATCTGCCCAATCCATCGGAAAAATGATGAATTTCGCCGGAGAAACCTATGGGTCGCAACCGGGTTCGCGGGTTAAGGGGAATCCAGTTTGGTTCCCCTCTTTCTCCTCCTTTCTCCTTTCCTTCCTTTCTCTCTTCTCTGATTGGTTACTCTTTCATCTCTCATTTCCTCACTGGTCTGTTTCCCCCTACTTTCTCTCCTTTATCTTACATCTGCACCAACCATCTTTCTTTTCTTTTAATCTGGGCCACACACGTGGCTTTCCAGATTTTGCTCTGAAAATCTGGAGCTTTCTTGAACTTTATTAATTTACTAAAATGCCCCTAACTTAAAATGTTAATATCTCATTCGTTATAACTCCAAATTGCGCCCCGTTTACGCCTACACGTCCGTAACAACAAGTACTATAAGGATACACCAAGAAAATGAATCTTACATAACTCGACAAGGCGGTCAACAAAAGTCAATGCATTTGCCTCGAAGGGCATTTTCGAAATTTCACATTTAAAATTTTATAAAGACTATAACTTTTGGGGATGGGTCGTTACATCTACAATACTATTGGCTTGTGGATTTTCTTCGCTATGCAAAATATGATTATGCTTTCTCAATGGAAAATAACAAACTAAACTATTTGGTCTAAGGTTATTTTTCTTTTTTGAGTTTCACTAAATTTCTAAATTAAGGTAATTTATCATAAACTATAGTCTACCTTTCTCTAAAATTATGGCTAACTGGTTTCTTATAAACTCTCTTTCTTCTCTCAAAGTCTCTAAAACTTGATCTATTGCTCTTTTTGCTACTAAAATTTTATGTTGCACTTCTGTATTATTATATTTACTAATAAATGAAGGATGTTCAAGATAACCAAGATAAAACTTCTACTTCTTCAAAGTCCTGCTAATTCTTTTGGAGATATATGTTAATCTTTACTTTATACTAGTTATAGTTGGGTGTCTGGGACAATAAATACCTGGTGGTTGTGGTTGACAAGGTCTACAAGGACAATAATATATGTTATTCATACAAAATAAAAGAGTGATATCAGTTGTGTTAATGACTTCTGTCTTCAAGGTACTATTAAAATGCTAAACTTGGCTCTGATACCAAATTCGTAAAGTAAGCCCGGTTAAATAGTCAGATGGCCATTACAACAACTAGACATAAAACCTTGCACATGGAACTCAACATGTTTCAGCATAACAGCCACTCACAATGCAAGTATAAGGCCTTAACGGCTGAACTCAAAGATACAAAGAACTCAGAGGTACCCTGATTAATGTCCAGTTATTTGTATGGCAAGCATTCAACTATAACAGAGTGCTCGAACAAAGAATGATCTTCAGTTTAGCAGGTTAATAATATAACTAAAATAGTGTTTCCCTGTTTTGGATTAGAAGTCTATTTAAACAAGCAAACTAAATAAAGAAAAGAAAACTTACTTAAGACTTGGAGATTGCTTGAATCTGTACACTTGAACTTTTATTGATATATAGAATGTTTACAAAGAGAAGTGTTTACAAAGGATGCCAGAAAGGTTTTGGATGCTTGAGTGTATGAGGATTGAAGTATGGTGTGTCTCTGGTGTGTGTTTACAATGAATATAACTCCTCTTATATTACATTGAATGAGAATATTATGGTAGTAAAAATCTTTACAAATGAATGGTGTAGACGTATCCTTGGTACTTGTCATTTGCCATTTTGCTTCTACTGTTGCTGAAATTGTCAGCACTGTTTCTAAAACGTGGTCTGACTTATTTGTCTTCTTTTGCCTTGTTTTGATAAATGCATGTGAACTTGCTTGTCTCCTTTTGCTTTGTCTTGATAAATGCATGTCAACTTACTGCATGGCTTGTCTCTTGGAGCCCATAACTTTGTCATTTTTTTTATTTTTTATTTTTTTTTATTTTTTTTATTTTTTATTTTTTTGCTTTGATGAAGAGCATGTGATTTCAGATGGATGTTGGAGATTGAGATACTTTTGTCTCTTTTTGTTAAAAGGTTTTCAAGGGCAACCTTGCCATTTTGTTTTGTTTTTTTTTTTTTTTAATTTATTTTTATAATTGAATTTGATCAAATTGTACCGAAGTCAGTAATTTCCGTCAGGCCAAAAAAGATGTGTGAAGTCCCGGATTTTCTCCGTGCTTATAGCAGTTTCCAAGCTTTCATGGCCAATATTGCCACTTGTGTAAACCACCAAACAGGTTGTTCCTGAGGAACTTGAGCTTTAATTTCAATGGCGAAATCAAACAACTCCTCCAATGTGCCAAATATTCTGTCTTGAAGCTCCGGCGTAAATTTGTTTGGCAGGACCATCACGAAACAGCCACACTCTTCGTGTGCATGGCAAACATCTTTGCGTAACGAGAGCCAAGAACTTGTCCCTGGCTTCCAGCAGTCCGCTTCGGAGAAATCGACTACTGGAATCTTGGCCACTGCTGCTATTGTAAGGCTCATCTTTTCCCTTGAGTTCGAGGCTAGGGCTCTAAGGATATTGAACTGCAAGCTGAACATATAGCTAGGCTGATGTATTTCAGATTCTTTTTGACATGCTTATTTGTTTTTCTTCCTGCACTTTAGATGAGTTTAAAGTAGAATTACGCTTGTATACAATAAAATGCTGAGATTTTAACTCGTAGCAGCTCGATCGGACCATGCAATTTGCATTTGTACATCTTCAGATCTCAGACATACTTGTAAATCACGTTTCTTCTTGTGAATTTTATTTAAGTGATGTTTAGGTCAAGTTCTTGAAGCAATTTAAAAACTAAGATGAAGTTCTTGAGCCAATTTCTCATTCTCTTCCTCTTTCACACTCTTTCAAACCCATCCACTTAATTGAGACGGGGACGTCACGAAACCATGAAGTCAAGAATATGGAAGAATCATGGAACCGGAAGTGAGATTCAACAAAACTTATTCTCCTCTTGCACACCCTTGTTCGTTCATTTCTAGCATTTGGATCGGATGAATTAAAAGAGAATCAGAGCAAAAGCTAGAGACCCACAAATATATATGCCCTACGCTAATACAACTCTTAACACTCCTCCAACATTAAAAGTAGTTCACTACATCAGTTAGCCAGACTAGATTCAGAATTACAATGGATCCCCCATGCCGAAGAGCGCCATATCAGTATCTGTAACCCACCGGCATCCCATGCTTGTCCAAGCCACCAGATCCCGGGTAGGCTTTATTTGCAAAGTTAGCGTGCAAGGCAGACGTCCATTGTGTACTTGATCTCGACTCACCAAAGCCATGAATGGAGTGCCTCTTCGTTGAGCTAGACCTATCATAGTGAGGCCCCTGCTTCGGAGCACTAAGAGACCTCAACTTAGCCTTTGATGATTCAGTGCACGCCATGTAATTTGGGTAATCGGAATAGCCGCTTAAGTAGCTTTTTGAGCCATCACGCTTTCTAGAAGTGAAGGGGCTTCTCTTCAAAGTAGCTCCCCGTGATGAAGCAGAATAAAACTGCGGACTACTGTTGGCAGTGCAGAAAGAGTCTTCCTCAACCTCTCGAGAGAGTTTCAATGGGCTAAAAGATTGGAGCTCGCAAGACGATGGACTTGGAAGTGTTTGATGGTTTGTGGAGGCTTTTGAAGTGGTAAAGCTATGGCTGTATTGGTCTGAGGCCAGAGCGAGGTGAGTAGAGTGAATAAGATTTATTCGTTTAGGTACAATGTATGGTTTCCCAGTATCAATTTCGAGGACCCTGTCATTCTTTTCATCATCAGTAGTTCCATTTGACCTGGAGCTATTTCGCTGCAGGATGTAATAGGCATGAGAATCTTATATAAGTAGCAACCATGAAAATGCAGTTGAAGGAAAGGATTTGAGCATACCCGAAGTATTGCCAACTGCTCATGCTTTGTACTCCTCAGTTGGATAGGATGTTCAAATTTTTCAGGGGTTGCTGGACCCTGCATGTAGATGAGATTTTTCCTTTTTAACGAATAAACAAACGTTTGGAAAACACAGATGATGATTTGGTCAGGATAACTCGTAAAATATACAAATCAAATGCGAATACACTTTCAATTTAAAGAGTATATCCCATATCATGTCCTCATCCACCAATCAGAGAGATTGAGAAATAAACTAGATACTGCAGATTACAAAACGCAGTGGTTTGCAGGTAATGAAAAAATTAAACACTAAGTAGCAAGTAGTTAACTCGATTCATTTCAATAACTAGTCTTATCGTTTCACCAAGAGAAAACTGTATAAGCAGTGCTAGTACACGGTTAAAGTGGAGGTTAATGATCAGTGGGACAAGGTAAATCTATATAGTAGTAGCTTGGAAACCATCAATACTTTCCCTCTAACATGTTATACGCCTCCAAGTTTGATAATGTACATTAACTGTTATACGTATCATGCTACTTGTCAACCTGCCATTCTCATTTATTCGACTGCGAAAGCTGTGATCAGCATATAACTTACACATGAATGCGACATGGAACTTTTATAATTTCCACCAAACAAATCTTCATCACGACATTATATGTTTGTACTGAAAAGACTGAAAAGTACATGCATGAATTCAAAAGGCTTCTGCAGTTTAAAAACAAATGGTTCACCACCACCCTCCACACACCCACCCCCCCCCCCCCCCTCCCTTTTTTTTTTTTTTTTTAAATCAAAAGTCCACGATTTCAATTGTTTAAATCTACTTAAAAGCACTCAAATTGGAGGGCATTGTAAATTTTCCTTACAGATTGGTGAAACTGAAAAGATTTGGTCCTTGAGTGCGAGAGCTCAGAAATCTGGGCCCTCCCTACTCGAGCTCTTGCCTGCGTTCGCAATATGGTTTGCAGTCGCTGTAACCGGTCAGCATAAAACTTCCTCACAATATGACCTCTTACCAACGCCTGAAGTCTCACCAATCCCTTTAATGCTTGCAATGCTCTCCTTGCCTTCAAAATGTCCATTCAATAAAGTACGTTAGCTTATGAAAACCTAATAAAACACAGTGGAGATGATACTGATCACTAACAACCAAAGTAATAATGAAAAACGTTTCACAAACCAACATTTTCGATTATAATCAGGCCATAAGGTATTGATAACAAAACCAAGAGACATGGTTTCTCTTCGTCGGAGCATCAGTACGTAAACAGAATCATAATCTGATTCATTGAAGAGCCTAAACTTCAATGACGTTTCAAAACATGGCGCCAAGGAGACCAACGTAGAATTCGAATGAAACAGGCGCCTAAATGAAAACAATTTTAGGCCAGTGGTACCAAATAAATCTATGACTCTGGCATGACAATAAGCAAACAAGGACATTTCACTGCCAGCCCTTGCAAAATGGTAAGAAGTTTTTATCCACTGTTTGACTCATCTCTGTCTGCATATTAATTTAAAATTGAAGAACCCAACCTACATTACACCCAGTAAGGACTTCCTGTTACCTACATCCCCGGGATCCACTGTGGCGTCCCGGACAATCATACAGTGACGTGTGGGAAAGTTAAAGCACATAGCATTGTATGATTGATCTGGGACATGACCGTAGCATCCCTGGAGTCTCTCCTCCTCCCCTCCTACAAAGTCAATTAGGCAAATTCTTTTTAGGAACCCACCAGACTTTAAGTGGGCAGGACCAAACAGGCAAAAACGGCAACAGGCATGGAGTTTAACGTTTAGCCATCCACCCACTCCACTCCACTAAAATGCATATAACAAAAAAGTGACTGTTAAACAAACTTGATTAGATTTAGCAAGTCCCATCCTACTAACTCCCCCACCCCACATGACTCGTCGCTTGTATTAAATTAGCTAATCTTAACACTTTAGCTTTTGGTTTCTACTATGCTACTATGAGGAAAGATCGAACACTGAGAAAGCAATTTTTTTGCCCAAGCCTAAGGTATCCTGCCTGAAGGGTAAGACTAATCCCTAGTGGGGCCTAGAAAGACTAAAGACATTTCAGTCCATCCTTGGCCACAGTCAAATCGCTCAGGTCGTCTCAAAACTTTCAACTAGAAAATCATCCGCGTTTTGCCAATTTCGTGCCTCGTACCAAAAATCAGAGAGCGAACCTGACTTGAAAGTCTTCCACAATTCCACTGAATCACTTGTTGTGGCTAACTGAGAGAGCACTTGAAAAAGCCAAAAGCTTTAAGACTTTAAAACCCCAAATGGGCAGTAAAAACAGAAAAGCCAAAAGCTTCAAAAAATCACTAAAAAACCCAATAAAAATAATTTTGCAATTATAAAACCCGAATGTAAGAGAAAAGCCAAAAGCGTTAAGAAATCATTGAAAACTCAATTGAAATTAACACTGTAGTTACTAAGAAAAACCCGAAAGTGCAGTAAAAGCGGAAAATCCAAAAGCTTTAAGAAATCACTATAAACCCAAACGACAAAGTGCAGTAAAAACAAAAAAGCCAAAACTTTTAAACTGAAAACCCAATTGTACAGCCACTTGGTACAACTCCTATTTCTCTTCACGCGAAAAACCTTAAGTTCGATTCTTGTCAAAAACAAATTTGAACTATATTATTACAAATTTATTATGGATAATACGAATATCACCGGACTATAATACTAAGTTGCAAGTGGGAGGGAATCAAAGAACCCAAAAGCCACAGTAAATCCATGACATTGACATTTTGACAAATTTGTCACCACGGCAACACCAACTCATCCACATACCTTTTTCCAAAAACCATCTACAAAATGCACGGAACAAAAGACAATTCACACAAAACAAAATTAGAAACCAGATTTTATGCAAACTTCCAATCACCAACAACCAAGACTTAATCATCCATTCTCTCTCTCTCTCTCTCACTCTCTCTCTCTGAAAACACCAACACAACAAAAATGGAAGGCCTCTAAATTGAAGGGCCATGTGTGGGTGTACCGAACCCTTTGGGAGATCCAGTGGTCCACACGCTCTCCCTTGGATAGTAGCGCAGTACGCAGCCCTCGGCGCATTATAGTGGGCTTTCCAACATTGAAAAATGTATAGGGGTACCTAGAAATGGCAGTGAAAGAAGCTGCACGCGTTGCCGTTTTCGGAGAAACGACACGGAATGTACAGCTAGATGCAGCCCGACTGGGCATTAGAATAATTTTACCAAGACCGAAACGACGTCGCATCGGGCCTTCGGTTACAGAAGGTGCAACAGTGCAGTAGTGGAACTGGATAGAAGAAGAAGTGGTACTGTTTGTGTAAGCACCAACCAGAAAGTATGGAAGAAGGGACACGTGTCAGCTTCCAGGCACAATGCTGATCCCAGTAACTTAATCAGAGATTAACGGTAGACTAAAAAATTAAAGGAATTAATACGGGGATACGAACCAAACAGCCTCGGAAAGCAGCTTGAATTTTCACAGCGGCCCATTCTTCTTCGCGAATTCCGATGCGGCTACCGTGCACCGCGGAGCTTCTGACGAACCGCCCGCTGCTGGTCAGCCGTACCACCGCGGCGGCCGCTTGGGCGGCGGCGACTGCGGCCTCGGCCACGGCGGCGGTAGCGGCTGCCACGGCGATTGCGTGTTTGTTGGGGTCGACAGTGTCGTTGGAGGAGTCAGTGCGTTGGTGATGCCGTACGGGGTCGTTTTGGTGGCGCTTTTCTCTGTAGGACTTGACGAAGCTCCAGCGGTGTTTGTCTTTGGTGGGTGGTTTAGGGGAGGAGGAGGAGGAGGAGGACGGGGGTTGGTGGGCGGGGTTGAGCTTTTTGAGGCCCAGGATGCTCCAGAACCATTTGGAGGCTTTGCCCATTGTTGGGGGTGGGGAGTGCGAAGGCTAAGGGCGGTGGGATGGGAGTGGAGTAAGAAAGTGGTGGTGGTTATGGACTTGCATTTGCAGTTGCAGGAGAGAGAGAGGAGTGGGAAGAGGGAGTGAGGAACGTGTTGATGGTTAGACTTGGGAACTGCGGAGTATAAGGGCATGAAGGGGAGGGAATTTATACGGTTGAGATTTTGTCAAAGGAGGGAGGGGCCGTTGATTTAAACACGTGTTGTTGGGAGGTGAAATTCTATGCTCTCTCCCTCTACATGGCGCGTATGCTTCACCCCATTGCTACTTTCTTCTTCTTTTTTAAATTTTTTTATTTATTTGTGGTTTTTTTTCCTAAATTCTTGGCCGATCAAAAAGTTGGAGTAAGAACAAAAGAGTGCCAATAATTTAGGATATAACGTATTGTTTTCTAGTTTTTATTTAATACAACAAGATAGAAAAGATGATGACATAAAAATTACACAAAATAAAAGTGTAGAAATTTGATACATTCAATTGTTTTTAAAATTTTTAGAGTAACAATAACAATTTCTTTGATTAATTTTGTATTAAATAATAAGGGTGAAGAACAAGCCTTCCATATGGATCGTAGTCTATCTCCTTAATGGATGTCAAGTCTGGTGGGAAGATATTGATGATGTGACCTTTGACCTGCCCACGCCTTCCGATCCTCTCTGTCCTTGTACCAAAATTCACCTCTGTTACCTTGATTCGAGGTTGAGATTTCCTTTGTCACAGCTATGGAAGGAGATCCTCACGCACTTCCACATCGGTCTTTGTAACCTTACTTCGACCTCTGTTCGCATTATCTCCTGCTTCGATCGCCTGAATGAGTGGTATCATGTCGAACTAGGTTTGTCTGAATATCGTGTTCTCTATCAGCTTCGGAAGAGCACCGGCACTTGCTACTTTTTTCAATCTCGATCTACGCTTCGTTGGCCTGCTTACATCACTGAGCTTTCGGGTCATGACAAGGATTGGTACAGAGATATTCTTTTGGTAAAAGGGACTAGGAGGGAGATATATCTGAGCCGAGAGTCCCTTGTAAGCTCGGAAGTGACATTCTATGCAAAATGGATGATCAGAATCTTGGCCGGTGTCGTCCTGAATTTATTGATAGTGCCTTCAAAACCATTCTTACTTTGCACCAGAGTTGGAAGTGGTAGTGTGCCGGAGAGAGAGTGCACGGGAGAGACGGCATCATCAACCTCTGCTCTAACCATCCTATCCCTAACCATGTGTGGGTTCGGACCCAAGATGCATTGAAACCTCCAAAACGTTCTAAAGATGCCCCTAGGGCGGACAAGAAGAAAAGGAAGAAAGAAACTGATCTGAAGCAGCTCTGAGAGCGATTCTGGCTAAAACATCTAAGAAGAAGACCAGGTTGGCAAGTGGTCCCGAAGTCGGTTTAGATAAAGCGCCTGAGATTTGTGAGATCATGTATCTTTAGACTTTGTATTAATGTTATTGTTAGCAGTCTGTTTTGACCTAGAGCCTTTTTAGCCATTTCATTGTTGTATTAGTTACTTACCTAATTATTTGTGACACTATATATGTACACCTTTTGGTTAAGCCATGCATGCTTTCACTTCCTGCATGCAAAGAGTAAGGACTAGTGATTAGGCTTGCCATTTTAATGACACCTGCCATTGTAACAAAAACTATGAGCATCATCACCTATATAAGCTGTAATATTTCTACGACATTCTTATCTTTTGTCCTCCCAATCTTTACAACTAGCATGCCACCATTTCCCAGCCGCCAAAGCCAACCAATTAGAGCCTTTGTTAGCCGCCTTATATCCCTATAAATAGGAGCTCTGCTCCATTTGTTTTCCAACTACAATTTGCGTGCTCTAGTTTACGTAGAGGTGGTATATAATATATATGTATGTACGTGTGTGTATATACATATAGTGAGAGAAAGAGAGACTAGAAAAGATAAGGGTGGAAGAAATACATTGGTTTAGGAGTGATCAAGACGTTAGATCAAGTGCATGGAGTTTAGCTAGTGACGTGAATCTTCGTTTTAGCTTTGGACTTGAGGTAGGGATTTATTGGGAACTTATCACTATTGGGATTTTGTCTTGTTTAAGCTTTGTGAAATATGTGTTCTACTTGATATATCTCTAAAATTGATATTTATGTATATTGAATTATGATTTATATAACTGTTAATGTTGAGAATGTGGATATTGTGGTAATGTTGATTAATATGCGTACATCATTACATATTGGAGTGGGTGGATTTTATTGGAATATTTGAGATTGGGATATAGAAAATAAAATATTATTTTGTCTGTTTGAGTTCGACTCTTGTAGGTACCAGCAAGGGTGGCCAAGTGAAATTATAGGAATGTTATGAAGTAGTGAGGACTCTGGCGACCGAAAGAAGAACAAGATGACCAACAAAATGGGAAATTTGCATTGATTGAGTTACGGGGGTTATAATAGAGCATTCGGACCACCGCTGCAATGGTAAAATGCATGGTATGGGACATGCAAGTCTGTGTGTTTTATTATATAGATTAACGGGTTGGGTAATTGAAGTTAAGATGCATTCATGATAAATAATTTATGTTTGATAACATGTTATAATTTATTTATGTGAGCATGACACTTGGTTTAGCCATGACAATTATCCTTGATAAGATTTATGTCCCTATCGAGCTGTGGTTTCGCTCACCCTACACATTTTAGACCTTGCAGGTTCCTACAAGTGTAAAGAAAGGTAGACGAGTTGAGATTGTGTTAGATGAGAGGTTTAAGATTTTTGATTTATTTTTGTACACCTGTAAGAGTTATTTTTTATAAGAGAAGTTTGGTTTTTCTTTTATTTTTACTTTTACTAGCGCGGGCACTGGTTTATTTTTCTTCTGACCCCAGGTCCGGGGGGTACAAGATTGTTGACCTTGCATCCTCATCATAAGAGAATTTGTAGCAAGCCCTCACAAGCTTTAGTGGAGGAAGAGGCAAGTTTATCCTTGTGGAGGCATTGGCATTGTAGCAAGGGATTTTGAGGAAACAACCGCAACCATCTGTACCTCCGGCTTTTGGTTTTACGACTGCCGTTTCTAATAGTCAAATTCTGGCTGAGGATTTGAGTAACTAGGTGACTGATGGGTCATCCATTATTCCATGTATTAGTAAATGAGTATTTGTCGAGGTACCCAGCTTGGTGATTAGGCCCGCCGTTGGGTCAGAACCACTCCTCTAGATGCAAGTGGTCTTTATGACACAGGATATGCTCAGGCTCTGATTTGCTTGGCTATCGCTCCTGCCAATTTCAGAGGGATTATGAATGTGGATGACGTTAGAGAAAAGTGTTATCAGAGCAGATACGAGATTTGTTGACACGCTCGACCCCGATAACCTCCAAACACCAGGGTAGGCATGTGCTGGCCAACACCCGAAGGTAACGAAGCCATACTTACATGCATGAGAACTATGAATAAAGAACGAACATAAATAAAACTTGTAAATTTAATTATGATGAATATGCAATTGTGGAACGTGTTCGGAGCATACAACTAAACCAAAACATTGAAGAAGGAATATTATAAAAATGTACGAACAAAGAAATGGGTCTTACATTGAGAAGACTCGAAGATATGCTGCGAGAGTGCCTTGATGCCGGGGTTGTACGCCTCGATTCTAAGTCCTAAGGGGCTTAAAACAAAACATGAGTGGACTAAGTTTATATATATAAGTGGTACTAAAATAGTTATTCTTCAACGTACTAACCCCCAATTTAGAAAACTCATATAGCATAAGTAGTAATAGGTTTTTCCAAAAACCTAGTATGCCATAAAACTTCATAAAACATATATCATATATAGTGTGCTTAGTAGCATCATAAAGGCGCATATAATCTTCATTTGCCCGAAGGCACTTCATCACCCGCTTGTAGGCATATATAATTCTTCATTCGTCTGAAGGTATCATTCACCAGTAAGCCCTACATCACCTGACTAAAGTCATATAATGATATCATTCGCCCGTAGGTAGAAATAAATCTTCATGCGCTTGAAGGCAGTATCATTTGCCCGTAGGCCCTACATCACCTGACTAAAGCTATATAATGATATCATTCGCCCGTAGGCAGATTGTATGAATAACCACTAAGTAAGCACATAAAAATATAAACCTAAACTTTCCAAAATATATCTCATCAGAGCTTAGTAGCCCAAACATCATACATAAAGCATGAATCCAATTTTCTCAAAAACGTTTCATAAAACGTATCCATAAAATCATGATTTTCGTGTATGCATTTCTAATAGTAAAATCATGCATTTTGGAAAGGGTCCACTCACCTTAGTTTGTTGATGAAGAGCCGTGCAAACAAGAGAAGACGGAAACGACACTAACAAACGCACCTAAGCACATAAAGGGACCATAGGATAAAAATTTAAAAACTAAAATATCTTTGTTTTCTCTATAGAGCCCGAGAACCCCGGTCTTTTCTAGTCCAAATTATATTTAAGAACTCTCAGCCCCAATCGTCGCGACCTTCCAAATTTAAACCCAAGTTACCCTATTCCCCACCACCTTTTGCCCTTCCACCGCCTTTAGCTGCCTAATTTTATTTCTTCCAAATTCATATAAGTTTTTTAATCCTAGACTCTAGTCATAACTCCCAATTAATAATATATATGTTACATTAACAAATTTTATCTTTGTAGAGTCACTAATTGCGTTATATTGTTGAGGAGAATTTGTTCGTTTTATTACCTTTGCGATTAATCTTGATTTATTCAATGAACCAAATTAAGTAAAAAATAGCGATACGGAACCAAATTAGTCTAATTTTTTTTTTTTTTTTTGAGATTTTATGTTTGGACCCCCGAGCTAGAAATCCTAAATCCGCCGGTGATGGCGTGGCCCATTTTATCCAACACGGCTTTGTACGTACTGCCCGAGAGGAAGAAACCGGGCACGTTGAACAGCGAACCGGGATAGTCTGACGTCAGCACCTCATCCTCCTCTTCTCGCTTCTCCTTCTCCTTCTCCTTCCTCCTCTGGTGTCCGAGCTGGTGGAACTCAGCTCGATGCCTGGCGTGACTGGCCTCCAGGCTCCGGCACCGATCGAATATAACTTTGTACAGAGTCTTCGGCAGGTCGTGGGCGGCCATCGCCGTGGATGCCGAGGTGTCGCGATGGCGGGGGAGGAAAGGGGGCGGGCAATGCGCATAGTAGCTAAATATAGCGGTTTTTTTTCCTCTTTTAGTTTGTCATCGCGCGAGCAGGTCTGCTCGAAACGAAATGTTTCTCTGAAATAATATTTTAATTTATTTCTTAATTATTTAATTCGCTGTGTCTGCGCACTCGCAGACGATCACTGGCTCGCCACGTGTCGCCTGCACAGGAAGGGAGGCTGTCGGGTGCGGAGAGGTGTTATTGCCACGCCGCCATTGGTTTGCGTAAGAGTCCAAACTCCATCTCTACCGCCACCACACAAGCACTAGCAAACAGATGGGTTGATGACTTTCATTGGCAATTGTTTAATCCCAACCGTTGAATCGTGTTGTTGATGACTTGAAGCATGCGTTCATCCACATTTTTTCCTTCCTTTCGGCTCGCACATATTATGTAACAAACTTTCTATGTTGGCAATTTCATTTTGATAGTGGGCGACTTTATTTATTTAATTATTTAAATGGAATCTTCACGTTTTTTTTTTTTTTTTTTTGTTTTTTTTTGCTGAAAAGACTCACAAAGTCATTTCAGTCTCTCTTTAACTACTATCATGTGATTCATGAACGTCAATAATCGAACTCAGAATGTGTTGTATAGAATACCGGCATAGAATTCGTCTCTCAACTATTGGGTCACCTAGTGGTTGTTAGTGGGTGACTTTAGTTGAATCCCCAATTTTTTAATTCAAAATCTCATTGCGTATGAGTGCAAACATAACCATAAAACTACCATGATTCACTTCGTTTAGATGTACTTTTAAAATGACTGAAAACGTTGTTGGTGAAAATGTTTTTAGAATCAATCATTTGTAAAAATGTAAATGAATTCTGAAGAAAAAAAAAACACTTAAAGTGTTTACTGAAGGAAGCACCAATGTCTAATATTATCTGTAAAGAATCTCAACGTTCACTACGCATATTCACACTCTCAAAATCGCAGATGTATCATTCAATAACTATTTGGTTTTAATTTTTATTTTTAGATACTAAAAATTTGTTTGATAACTGACAATAAAAATTAAAAAATAAGGAAGCTATTATTAGCACTTTAAAATTTTTATTATACATTCCTCACAAGTGTATTTTTCTTTCTATGTATAGAAAATTTAGAATGCAAAATGAAAGTGTCAATAACAAGTTCCAAAAATAAAAGTTGCTTTTTTAAATTTTCAAAAATAAAATTTACAGTTTTCGATTTTTATTATTTTAAATTGATCTAAGGCAGATTTTGCAACGGTCGTTTGCTTCTTTTTTTTTTTCGAATAAACGAAACTGTCAGTTTTAATACGCGCTCTCTTCCTCCCCACACCCCCCCCCCGGGGCGCCGCCGCCGCCGCCCCCACCCAAAACAACCGCCCTTCTCCTCCGTCTCTCCCTATCACACTTCCCCTAATAACAGAAACGATGCGAATCCAAACGCTAAAATTAGGGCACGAAACCCTCCTCTTCGTCATCTGCTCCGTGTGAGAAGAACTCCGATTCCGGAAACTTGAACTGCACTAAAAAGATGGTCCTCAACATGGCCGTTCCCAGCGGCGCGGTAAACAGAAAACTCTAATGTCCCGAATTTCACTTTCTCTTTTCTTTTCGGATTTTCAAATTTTGAAATTTAGATATTGTGGTAATGGGGGATTTCTGTACGGATTTGCAGATTGGCGGAGAGGTGGCGATTGTCGCGGAAGTTGTGGAGGAGAATTCGAGTCAAAAGATGCCAACTTTCCGTATAGGGCCTTTTCTGACAGTGAATAAATCCGCAGCTTATGCCTTGTAGGAGCTTGCTTACGTACGGGTGAGGAAACCCAGACTTTATTGTTGAATTGTTCATTTGATTTCAATCTCGGCGTGTGTTGTGATTAGGTAACTTAACATCAAAGACGCCGTGGATCACCCTTTCATTCCAGAGTGCTAATAACATAATCCAATATTAAATACCTAATTACAAGACAATTGTGATGTTTCAGGTCTAAGGACTAATTTGCACTACTCTAACAATTGGGTTCCTATTGACACGAGTATTATTTTTAGTACACATACATAAGATCTCGAGGCGATCCCGGTCAATGAACTTAATCTCCATTAAGCAATTCACTAACCTTGATTGTTTTTAGGGCATGCAACCAACACACACAATACTCACTCTTGCATTATGAAGTGTTGGCAATGTGGTCGGTTTACGTGGGATAATAAACCAACTAGGAGAATATTAGATTGATATTAAATGGTGACAACAAATACGCATCTATATACAAACGAAAACGCACTCTGCAATAGTCATCCTACTCTCCTGCCTAATGAATAAATAAGAGAATTGTAAGATGACTATTATCGCGTGCCAATAACAATTCCTTAAAGAACACATATTCTCTGATGGATTCTTATAGGAAAACGATTTCCAAATACCACTTTTCTTCTTCCATACACCCATGTTTATCTCTATCTTGATTCTCTTAATTAGTCAACCCAAAGGTCCGACATAAAAAAGAGCATACAAGAAAAAATGTGTGCGAGAATCACTTGGTTATTATAACGACGCACCTAATCAGTTGTCATGTACCATAGGCACCATTCATATATGTTTTTGAGAAGAATAAAGGCAACATTCTTATACGACCTCTGGACAATCTACATGGGGAGATTCACACGTTACAAGCATCCAATACCTAGTTGTTGGAAATCAAGACACCATTTTTCAAAACATGTCTACATTTTAACAAAAAGCAGAACTGAAATCTGAACCTGGACAAGAAAATGAACCGAGCAACCTTTTTCATAAGATGTCTATAACGAACAGAGTGCGATAAACGACGTTGTTAACTAAAACAGACCGTAATGTATGAACGACGGTACAATTCATTCTACAATGTAATTCAAGTGATAAAAATGTTAGCGACAACTTCCATCTGCAATGCAGAGACAGTGTGGCCTTTGCAGTGAGAATACATATAGAAGAACCTTGTTCAGAAAGTGAACACGTTGTACAAACGACGGCATGACTCGATTACCACCATAACCAATTTTGTACAAATGAAACAATGATTTGAAGACAATACCGAAGGTTGTCTTAAAAGAAGAGAGAAAGAAAAGAACGTGTGAAATATTGTATCACGTAGTAGGTTTTGAAACCCCCACGGTTAATTAAAAGCGAAAGAAGGTTTTGAAACTCTACATAGATGCTGATGAAAACGTGTTCAAAAACTAGTAATGGCCTTCTAACCCGTTGTAAACACAGCCTTGTACTGTTGCACGCAATCCGTTAAACGAAGAGCCACTGTTGTTAAATCACTTCTGCTGCAAGGAATTTACTAAGACGATGAACCATCAGAGACAAACTTCATTTGTAGCAAGTGATTAAGATTTGTCAACATGAATCTTTGTGTTCGATAGCTTTCTTAGCTTCCTGTCATGATTGAGCATTGCACTTACACTCTCAATCACCAAAACAATCTGCATGGTCCAAAGCACAAATTAGTAGAGAGGGATAAGCCAAAATATTCCATAAAATTAACAGATCGATCAAAATTGCAAATCTGCCTTTGGGTTTATCAAGTATTTTACAGCCTACATAGCTTCACAGCGTCACCTATTAATAGGTTTTCCATAATCAGCTGATCTAAAGCGGTAACATTAAGTAATTTTAAGTTACTGCATTTAGATTGACAATTTTGAAAGCGTGAACTGGAATCAAATAATAAGGAAAATTTTGGTTAATGTGTCAAATACAATTATCAACTTTCAATATATACAGGAGCAATATACAGAAGTTTTTAATATCATTTAGATCTGTTATACAGAAGTATTTTACTCATACTAAATAAACAATCGTTTTAGAACTAAATAGGATATAGGACCTGGGAAACGAAATGATCATGCTTTCAAGACTTATTTTACTTATACAGAAGTATTAATACTTAACACTAAAGTGGTCATTTTGCATGGTATTCAAGCTGATACGAAATGATCATGCTTTCAAGACTTATTCATTCAAGTGTGGAAGTATGTATAGCAGGGGTGATGACTTCCTCTCATGGTTTATTTCACAGAAATCTAGCTATGAATCATCTATACAATAACCGAAGGTACATTTTTTTCTGCCATAGAAACTCTTATATGAATCATCTGATGCTCTACAGTATTAATGGACAAAGAATAATTGATGAGAGTTTACAAACCTGCAAACAAGCATAAGTAATTGCAGTAGCGAAGTAGAAATTTGCATTGCCAGTGCCCTGCAAGTTTGAAAAAATTCCTTATTCATAAGAAACATTTGTATTTTATGCCAACATTCAGAACAAGTGCAACTATAGAGAGAGACATACCCTCCATATCCATAGGTTGTGCATAACAGGGCTAAGGAGGGAAACGCCAACATAAACGCTGAAGAGGCAGAACGAGAATCGCATTTCTGCATATCATAAAATATAAGGTTTATTATCTCAAACCATGTCACATGCATAAAGGGAACAAAAAGTGAACCTACTGACTTGCCTGACAGTTCATTAACAAACCAGCCCAACAAACCAATGTACAGAGCTGAATCCCCAACCTAAGCAAAATTTCAAGAATAAAATATCAGGTCCCCCATCACATAATAAGAAGCACAGGCATCGACACTTTAGCTTCAGTACCAGTGAAAAGTAGGAGACTTCTAAAGCACACGGGGAACTTACAGAAGGATAAGATTTAAGCATTGAGGATATGGTGATGTAGACAAAAGCAAGAAAGCACGGACGATGCTTCAGCCGTATAGCCAATGGAAATATCATAAAGAGAATATTCATATGGAAAACGATGAGGAAGAAATTTCTGAAAAAATCGAAGACCTCTGCAAAGAAATACCTACATCAAAATATTACATGATGGATCAGATTCATGCCACACCCCAAAAATAAATTTAACCACACCAAAATCCACTTGCAAAATAGGTAAATTGGGACTCACCATAAGACACCTATATTTGGAGACAAATCTTGCACAGTGAGAATGAAACCATGCATTCTGCAAAACCCACCACAAAGTTTAGGAACAATTTAGACTAGTGATTTTATTGACTAGTGTTTAACAATAAAATAACATGTCTAAGAGCAACCCATGTATGGCATTTATGAGGCAAAAAGCAAATGCTCATATCATTAAACGCAAGCATAAAAGTCCAACCACATATGATATTAGTCAGTTAATCATGTTCTGAACTAACTCACACAATAAGGATCGCACAACAAAAGGATTTACTTCCATTACAACTATTTCATATGGTGGCTTTTCGGCATAAGAGATAAGATCATAAGGCTTTCCTTGGGACATAATTGGATAAAATCATTATTCAGTTCTTAAAGGAAGAACCTTTTAGTAGCATCAGTCTTCACTTTTCATTTTCCTTTTCTTTTGTTGGTGGGTCGGGAGGGCAGGGGGATGGAGACTACGCCAGGACATCCTGTGCAGAGCTCTAGTCTATATGCAGCTGTGCTTCCCTTCATATACTAATTTGACCAAGATTTTCCAGGCAAATTGGAATAGCTTTAAAAACTTTGATATATTTAGTTTGTTTTCTTGTAAATTAATTTTCATATGCAATTCTACTGACTCAATGTTTACATATCCTGAGTTTTACATGTGGATTGGATGACCTTTACGAACTGTAAAGTAGCTTTTTATTTTCAGTTGACTCCTTAATCAAACTCATTAAGGACTTGGATCAGTCATAATGTTCATATGATTAGTCCATTCTCTTCAACAGCTTTTTTTTCAAATCATATTTTGCACAAACAAATAGAAAATTTGAACAGAAGGAGATGCATATGTGCTGTTGATACCTTTCAAACATCTCCCAGAGACTACCATACTGTTTAGCAGATACGCCACAGAGAAATAACACATAGGCTGACCACACAATAGCCCACAATAAGAAAAGCATGACAGGTCTCCAAGAGAAAACATGGGGCAGCTCTGATTGATTAATAGCTTTATCCTGTTGTTGACAACTATCAATTGACGTTGCATCTTCAGCTTTACCATATCTCCTCTGTAGCAACAGTTTCCTCGGAGTATCTGGACCATATCCTAATAAAAGAATCATCTGGCAAAAAAAGGAATATTAGTTACTACTACGCATGAGAGGGCAAGAAACACACAAAACATGCCTGAGAATTATATTCTTATATTTTATTTTTTTTATATTTCGATAAGAAACATAACTTCATTAATGGATTGGAAGATAACTTCTTAATTTCATCAAGCACAATAAGTCAATGAAAAAAGGGGCATACTGGAATTATGAGAATCATAGGATAAAGAGACAGATGTGTTGCCATGACCCATCCAAAAGCAGCCAAGGGAACCAGTCCTGCAGTACATCGAAAGAAGAATAATAGGAAAATTCAATTAGGAGTTTCAAGGATTTTAAAAGAGTTTACAAATCCATATGTATTCAATCAAGATTTTAAATGACTCCATGGAAGTCCATGGGTATTCAATCAAGACTTTAAAAGAGTTTATAAAACACCACAGAAATCCGAGTGTATTCATTCCGGATTTTAAAGTAGTTCAATTAGGATTTGATTTTAAAGTATTTTAAAAGATGAAAGACTTTAATGGATTTGGGGGGATTTTATTAGTGTTTTTTAGGCTTTAGGAAATCAGGCCTCTCCCCCTAAGATTTCTAATGATTTCACTCAAAATTCAGTCTGTGGAACTCCGTTAAACTCCACGAATTTATAACTCTTTTAAAATCCTTTAAAATCCTAATTGAAAATTAAAAAGAATACTTTCCTTGACCGACATACCTTCACCCATTCCAAAATCAAATTCTAATATCTTGCCTTAAAGCATACTTTAGAGAAAAATATGTCAAATGCAATTAAAAATAATACTTTCCTTGAGAAAGTTTCAGAATTTGGAATCAGAAAATTATTCAATTATGAAATAGATGTGCTAATGTCATATGACTGGAATTGCATGCTATCGTTACCACTTAAGTCCACAAATCCAGTCATCAAGTGATACTGCTTCACTTAGAATTATAGTAAAATCTTAAAGAACCAAACTCATTATGTCCAATAAAGTTGTTTCCTGTAATAAGATTATAATTTGTCTGTAACTAACTTCATGTCACAACTCACAACAATATAAGGGCGGCTACTTGTATGGGTAATACCTCACATGAATGCCTATATAGTCTCAAACTATAAATAAGAAATCTTGTAACCAAAGTTGAGAATGTATTAGATTATTATTTTGAATAAATAATAATTCTCCTGAACAAAATGACAAACAGAAATTGAAAGAAATATACTGAAGAGTCTTAAATATAAAACAAAATAATTTACAAAAAGCCAATAGAAACATTCGAGTCAGAAGGATTATCGTTTGCTTACTTTTGCATGCTCCAAACAGGGCCAGTATGATGGCAAAATTTTCAATTGGAGATGTTGACAAACCCACACATGCAACTATTGTCAAAGGATTCCATAGGTACACAAGAGCAGCAATATCTCCAGAAGGGAGGACCTCTGAAAACAAAAAATATAAGCAATGCATCAGCTTGTGAACGGCACTGGGGTAGGCATAACAATTTTGGATTTCGTTCAGGGAATTCATACAAGAAAAACATGACTATTCCAATTAGGAGTTACGATAAGTATACAACAGCAGCAACAAAGCCTTTTCCCACTAAGTGGGGTTGGCTATTAAATAATAAGCCTACCACTGCTTTCTGATATCGTATCAAGATCTAGTGACTTCAAACTCTGCCGGTATGCAACCTGAAGAGTCTGACCAGTAGCACGAATAAGCATGGCATTCAATATATCTGCAACCACAAAAACCAAACTGTATCCCAAAATGTGTTGATATCAACTGTCTGACTAGATATTCCGAATAAGTCGAACAACGAAAGAAAACTACGGAACTCTAAATTATACGTGTAATGTGCCACGTTTATATGACATAAAGATGAATTTGTTGTCACAATTGAGCCTGTGAACGTGTTTTCGGTTTGGTAAGTTCTCAACTAAAATCAAATAAAGTACAAGGAAAAAAAATCCGACAAATCATATTATACTGCTATGCAAATTCCCAATATTGACTAGAATGCACTATCATGGAGAATTATAACGGGTTGTCATGCTGCGACATAGACTTTCCAAATATCATGTAGCACATGAATTCGTATAATGGGCAGCACAGAGAGGGAACTACGGAAAAGATACAAGATAATTCTTACCTACAGAGAAGATGATTGGGTTGCCCTTCAATTCTGCAGCACCAATCAAAATATCCAACAAATTACCAACTGATAAACAAAAAGAAAAAAATCCACCACCAAAATTTCACATTTACTTAATTGGGATTCAATGAAACCAAACATGACCCAATACAAATCACAGAGAGTAATGCCAATGGGAACAGAATTTGGAAAAGGGAAAAAGCTTTAGCTGAAACGGTACCGTTTGACGGTGAGTGGCCCGAGAAGTGAGAGTAACAAAGGAGATCCATGGTACATAGATCCTGCATATGGAGACATTGACGATTGCTTCAACCAGTAACCCTCAGCCACTGCAAAAAAAAATTACCAAATTAAAGCAAATTAGAAGATAGGTGAAAGCTTAGGTTTTTGAGAAGCTAGAGAGATAGAAAGAGAGAGAGGGCGTGTGTACGGCGGCGGAGGCTGGTGAGAGGAGTGGAGACTTCGGGGCGGGAGGAGAGGTTGAGATTTTTGGGGAAGTAGATGAGGACGAGCCTGAATAAAACTGACGCCGCCAGCCATGTCCAGAAGCCTCCGTGCTTCTGCTTCTTCCTCTTCGTGCTCTGCTCCTCCGTCTTCGCCTCCATTTTTCTTACAGCTTTGCTGTGTTTTTTGGGAGCGAGGTCACTAGGGGAAAGAGACGGAGACGACTCGGACGAGTTTGAAAGGTATAGAACGGCAGCGTTTCACTGTATCAGATTGTTTGATTGCCGGGTGAGGACTGAGGGGTGATGAGTAAGGGATTTGGATCCTCTCCGGATCCCCTCCTGGGAATCCCGGGGATCAAGGCACAATGATCGTTCATCCAAGATCGTACTGCTACAATTAAATGCTTTTTATATTTTTAAAAGTAAAGCAATCTCGTTTTGTGTAAAAAGCATTTAATTATGGCCGTACGATCTTTGATGAATGGTCCTTGTTTCTTGATCACCGGGATCTCCAGGGAGGGGATCCGGAGAGGATCTAAATCCATGAGTATGGGAGTCTTTTGCCTATTCTTTTATTTATCAATTTTTCTCAAATTGTACCTAGCCCTGATAGTGGCACAAAAAATAAATAGTTAAGATTGTAAATAGAAGATCATGTGCTAATAAAGTATTCGGAAGATAGGCCATGTTGTAAAAAGATTAGGATTTAAACCCTTGTAATGAAGTTTGTTTCGACATATGCCCAAAACCAAAACTTATGTTGTTCCTCGTTAGTAGTCTGCATGTGAGTCTCACATGTAAGACTAAGATGGTCATTTTATTCCTTCCATAGGCTCTCTTTTATTTAGAAGCAAATCAACTGGGTTTGGGACGATGAAATGATGAAATCACTAGAGATGGGAGTGATGAAATGGAGAGCAACTATTGAAGGGATGAAATGGTGACAGGTGCTTCTCACGCAGATGGTGGTTCTCACGGATGGGTTGCTTCTGCACATAATGTAACGGAGGTAGTCAAAATTGCACATTCACCTTTCTACTTTTATGATGTGTTTTTACTCCGCTTTTATTGAGAATTGGTAGTCAATTTTAGTGAGATAGTTGTTTCAATCTGGATAATGAATGATGTTGTTCTCCTATTCGGTTTGTTATTTGATGTTGTAGGACAGATATGGATTTTTGGGAAATGTTCTTTATTGAGAATGAAGTCCACAAAATAAAGAGGAATAAGTTCAAACATGTTTTTTTTTTTTTTAAAGCCAATTGCAATTTGAATACATTTTTGTCGAAATTGAGCTGTGGATGAGATGTAAGATTCAGTGAGCAACAAAAAAATTTGTATGATGAATTTTAGTCACATTTTTCACAGAATTGTTTGCAAAATCCATATTGATGATAGTATGTTCGCCTTTGGACGATCGATGCAGTACTGGTGCGTTTCCATTCTTATGTTTTCCAAGTTGAAGGCACCCGTGAAAAGGTCAGGTTCTTTATTACGATGACCTGCCCCATCATTTTCGTTTCATCCCTTCCATAGTTGCTTCTAAATGGAGAGCAACTACGGAATGGATGAAATGACCATCTTAGCCTCACACATAATGTTCACTTGCAGGCTATTAATGGAGGAATAACATAAGTTTTGGTTTTGGGCATTGTGGGACCATGATTTTTGTACGGCTGAAGTAAGGCTAATTTGAATATAGTTACCTCAGAAGTTCAGTCATGGACTCACCGGCTCCGAGCGGAGCTAGATCTGACGAAGGAGCAGTGCTACCATCACCCTATCCCGGGGTAATAGGTGTTAACAACATTGAGAAAGAATCAAAGAACATTAAAGAATTGAGAAAGATTGAAGAACTAGAGAGAGAAATGAAACTTCTGTATATTTGAGGAAAAATGACAACTAATTACATTTGTAAGTTGAAGTACATTATATATTGAACAATAACCACAAAGTAACTAATTAACCAACCAACTCATTTAACCACTTAACAAACATTATAACAACTTAAGGTGATGTGGCATTAGTTACACAATAACCAATGATCAAGAGACATTTGTCTTCATCCCCCTTCAATCTCAGCTAAGGTACCAAGCCTGAGATTGCAGCAATGTAAGTGAACTGTTGAGCCTGAGATTGCTTCAGACTTTCATTCTTTAAAGGCTGATGTGTAATCTTTTTCGAGCATCCTTGATAGGAATGTGAAAGAGTGTGAGACTTTATCTGACCGAAGGTTATCACTACGCTGGCCTCTTGCTTGGATTTGTTTAACAAGTGTCCGATAAATCAATACTGTCACATCCCGACTCGGGTCCCCACCGCATCCTAGGCTTGACTCCACCGTAGCACAATATTGTCCACTTTAGGCCCCAACCACGCCCTTACGGTTTTGTTTCTAAGAACTCACACGAGAACTTCCCAGTGGGTCACCCATCCTGGGATTGCTCTTACGTGAACTCGCTTAACTTCGGAGTTCTTACGGAACCCGAAGCTAATGAGCTCCCAAAAGGCTTTGTGCTAGGTAGAGATGAAAATATACATATAAGGCTTACATGATCCACTCCCCTAGGCGATGTGGGATGTTACAATCCACCCACCTTAGGAGCCTGACGTCCTCGTCGGCATACTTCTGACCAGGGATTGGCTATGATACCAAATTGTCACATCCCCGCCTGAGGCCCCCACTATATCTCGGTCTCGACTCCACCGTAACACAATATTGTCCGCTTTGGGCCCCAACCACGCCCTCACAGTTTTGTTTCTAGGAACTCACAAGAGAACTTTCCAGTGGGTCACCCATCCTAGGATTGCTCTCACGCGAACTCACTTAACTTTGGAGTTCCTACGGAACCCAAAGCCAATGCTCCCAAAAGGCCTCATGCTAGGTAGGGATGAGAATATACATATAAAGCTTACAAGATCCACTCCCCTAGGCAATGTGTGATGTTACAAATACCCACCAGAAAATGTGAAGAAAAAGTAGTAGTATAGGAGAGTATTTAACATGGTAAAATATTGGTCCATCTATAGAATGTTTGCTCTTGTCCAATGTCAAGATGACTCCATAGCTTGTACTCAAAAGGATCTAGAGTGGATAGTAAATGAGTTGCAGTATGATCCAAGGCAATACAAAAATAATAAATGTCAAACTAATAATCTTTTCAGCACCACCGTTTTTGGACATCTTCCCTACTTCCAGGAAGATATCACTAGCATCATGAAGATCTAATACAACTGAACCTAAGCATGCAAACGATTAGATAAATGAGCAGCAACAATATAATTCAAGCATTTCTTAATGAGCTACTTTTCAGCTTTTTTCTCTGTAGTTTCTGGGAACACAAAATCTTTCTGCAAACCAAAACCCTTACAAACAAAATGTAGGAACCAATTCTCCAAGACTTGAAACAATTATGATGCACATATCCAAAAGCCATGACATCTTGTATTCCTCTGCCTCTAACCAGTGATTCCTCTGCCTCTAATCATAGTTTCACAAATAATAGCCTTCTATAAAGGAGTTGGAACATATCCACATGCCGGTATATCAACTTCTAAACGGAATTATCCTTCGTGGGATTTATCGTCAACAATCTCATTCAACATTGGCTTCGGCCTTTAATATTTACAACAACAAAAAATTAACAAAACTATAATATAGCATTGGCCTTAACTATAGTACCACATGATCGCCCTTTGTGGATTTTACCATAAACAACTTCTTTTAACAATGGCATCGGCCTTCACATTTTCAACAATAGAAAATTAACATCTATGTAGGATTGCCTTTCGTGGGATTTACCGTAAAAGCCTTTCGTGGGATTTACCGTAAAAGACTTCTTCAAATTTCATTGCTTTAAGAAACATAAAACTGGAGTTATAGTAGATACATGCGACAACTAAGCTTGTTAGACTTGATATTATAGGATGTGATGGAATAAAAATATTTCCACGAACTCCTCAATATACTTCTTAAAAATCTTCCCAAACATCGTACTTCTCAATTTGGCACAAGTCAGCAGTAGTAATTGCAAGATTCAAGAAGGAATTAAGAATAAAGCAGTATTCAAGCAGAGAAATATGAGCAATTGGATATATAGACGACATCTCCAACTAACACAAATCACTGGTAGATACATCAAGTTATCAAGAATTAGGATTTTGGTGAATTAAGAGAAAGTTGCCAAACTTAGGAGATGCCGAAGCAACCACTAGAGGATCATAACCACCAATTGGAGGAATTTTCCCATCTTGTTTCGCTACTTCCGAATGGATCGATTCCAAAATCAATTAGACGTCGTCTCTTACATCAGGTCTCTGGCAATCGATCGAGTCCATAACATTTATGATCTCACTCTCTTACTCCATTGAAATCTTCACAGCAAAATGAAAAGGCCAACAAAAAAACCCAATTCTCTTAGGCATAGTGACAAACCCATGGCAGACAATTAACGAGTGTCATGAATTTCCATAAAATTTTGGCAACTCCATCAGACACAAAGAAACCCATAATCAAAAACCAAAGATATGAGCTTTTCACTCACATAATTGGACATCTCTTGAATTTCTTCAACATGGATCATAGATCAATTGAACCAAGAATTTATAAACGAATCATACAAAAACTCCAAATATATCTTAGATGACTGAAGAACCTTTCTTAAATCTTTAACTTGAGCAATCCATCAAATAGTTGATCTCGAACACATGGCATGTAAGATCGCTTATTCTAACACTAAAATTCATTGACGCATAAGATTGAACAGGTGATAGGCAAGAACTCACTAGCCAACTGCATTCAGATTACACCACAATTTCAAAAACCCATATACCCCCAACAATCTCTACACACGATCTAGAAGGAAAAATAACCTAGAAATTACAGAACGATGAAGAGAAAAAAAAATTGAGAATGATTGTAGAAGCACTAACAAACTTAATGGAAGAGAAATAAAACTAGAAGATGACAAAATCGAATGACAATGGAACCACTAGAATCCATGGCGTGAGCCTAGTGGCTCTGATACCATTTAACTACTTTGAGAAAGAATCAAAGAACATTAAAGAATTGAGAAAGATTGAAGAACTAGAGAGAGAAACTTTAGAGAGAGAAATGAAACTTCTGTAT